GCTCTCCTCCCATGTCATTCCTGTGGGGGCCGCACCCCCACCAGTCCACAGTCCTGGCAGCACAGCTTGACCACCGGCACCTGGGCAAAAGGTTGAGAAGAAGACAATGGGTCAGCTGAGAGAGAGAGAGAGAGGCCCAGGTTCCATGTCTTGAGGACCAAAGGCCCCCGACCTCCTTGAGCCAGTTCCAACCCCAGCTTGCTCCAGAGGCGGCACAGGGTCCCACTTCCATTCTCCCATCTGCTTTCCACCAACTTAAAACATCACACACAAACACACACCGGAATCCAGACACAGAACAACTTAACTTGTGTACCATCCCTTTCCTTCCCAACACACCCCATTTCATCAGGGGAGTTCTGGCACCACATGGTGGGAGCGAGAGAGATGTGAAGGCCCAGGAAAAAACTGGGGGAAATGCCCCCCCCCCCCCGTGACATTCTTTTAAAGGAAATATTTGGAAATTCAGGAGAGCACTGAAGAAACACTCATATGAAATACTCTCTCTTTTCAAACAAGAGAATGGCTTCTTAAAGACCAGTCAACGTCTGCAGCCTGAAGTTAGGAGGGTTTTTTAAAATATAAAACCATCCACAGCATTAGATAATGAAAATGACAATGTACACTGTAACACGCAACATATTTTCTAGAATATGCTTGCTCTTGTTTAAATATGAATAATTCTGGCAACAATCACACTATAATGTGTTTAACGACACTACATTATTAAAGCATTCAGCATTTCTGTGTTATGAAGTTTAACGATACCCAAACATGCCGGTAGAGTGACATATCATGACTGTATTACGAGTATTTCTGCCCACCGTGCTTTTGTTTACTGCAAAACAGGCTTTCTGATTTCAGCTCTCCCAAAAGTTCAGATGCACCAGCCAGGGCAAGAGTTGTATAATATCACATTATGATTGTTGTTGCTATTGTTGTTCTTTAGATTTATTAATCACCCTGTCCTGACTTGTGCCAGGCTCTGTGTGACTTACAGTACAGCATTAAGCCTGCTTAGTATCACATTATGATTGTTGTTGCTAGTGTTGTTCTTTAGATTTTTTAATCACCCTGTCCTGACTTGTGCCAGGTTCTGTGTGACTTACAGTACAGCATTAAGCCTTCGGAACAATATCCAAGCGTTAAATATAATAAAGTTAATAACATCAGAAACCAATTTAAGACAAACAAGAGATGGCATCACTAACAACTGTACAACTGAAAATCTGGAATTCTGAAAGACATGCTTGCTCGAAAGCTAGTTGAATCCAACTCTAGGGGGCGGTGCTCATCTCCATTTCCAAGCTGAAGAGCCAGCGCTGTCCTAAGACTTCTCCGTGGTCATATGGCCAGCATGGATAAATGCCAAGGCGCACGGAACACTGTTACCATACCACCAAAGCGGTACCTATTTATCTACTGCAATTTCTTGCTTTTGAACTTAGTTGCTCTCAAAATTTCTCTTTTGCCGGAGAAAACTCGCCCCCCCCCCATTGGCTTCAAAATTTCTGGAAATATCCCTCCTCCTGGGAGTCACCGTCACCCTTCAGTTCCAGGCAGCGATGGAGAAGGGGGAGGGGCTGCTGCACGCAGGCCCCAGAGGAGTGCAAGGGGGGAGGGGGCTGGCCTCAGGAGCCCCCCGCCCAAAGACCGGCAGCTCCAGCCACAAGGAAGCCCCTTCTTCAGGCCAGAGCGCCCAGCCCAGAGCCCATACTCCACACGGGCACACACACACAAGGCCCAAGCCAGGCAGGGC